AGGCTGAGATTTACTATTACTACAGGTGACCCTCCTCAGAAACAGAAAGACATCCAGATGTCAGTATAAGAAGCCTTTATCAAGAGAAACGTGTCACCACTTTGTGCGCTACACTATGAGCCAAGAGAAAAAGCATGACATGCGTTTTCCTCGTTTTTCCATGGTCCATTCCATTCAGTAAAAAACTAGTTTAGTCATTTGATGACTGTCCACATCATATAAATGTTACAGACCCGGTCAGGAAGGTCACAGGAGATAAAATGCCATAAAATGAGTTAGGTCAAGGTAACTCACCTCTGCCAGTCACTCAGTCATCCTTCCCTTGTGGGAGTTACAGGGGATTTCTTACCTAAAGCAACGCTTTACTAAGTCTTTGCATGGTGATAAATACAAGCGTGAACAAACACCAGAACCTGTACAACCATGTAGCGGGTTCGCTGCTGCACAACCCCGGATCATGCGGATTGATGAAGGGAGGCTCTGGGTTCGTCCCTCAGAGCCAGAGGTGCATTAAGTACCAAAACATAAACAAAGTAAACAGCTTAAAATCAAACAATGTACAGGCACACGCTGCACTGATGATCCTGTGACCCCCGCATACCGGCACTAATGGGATGCTGAATGTGCATGATCGGCCACTGCAGATAAAAGGCTGTAGCATGTAAACCCATCAACTGTGGCAGATGTATGAAGTGTAAAAGGGAGAGAGAAATGCACTCAATTCATTACCTTTTCGTGGTTGAGACCGTACAACTCACCTTTTTTAACCGGTTGTGTATCATTGTTTGGAAGACTTGAGCCACGACTAAGGCGATTCCCACGATCAGAAGGTGAGCGCACACGATCCCCGTGGCGTAAATGGCACATGATCTCCGGGTCATGATGTGCTGTCCTCTCGGGCCAAAACTTCACTGATGTCGCTGATAACTTCACTAAAAATCTAACTTAAGGTTTTGATGGTGTGGGGCGAAACGTGGGATCCGTCGTCTTCTGAGCAGCAGCTGGGGTTTAAACTTCTCTCTTCGCCCTGTCTGCCTGTGAGACTAGAGGAAAAAACAAGTATCAAAAAAATGTTGGCACTTAACAAAATTCCAAGAAAACACTTGAAGAGAGAAAGAAGGGAGCTGCTCAGAAGCGGCAGTGAAATGAAACAGTGGGTCTCGGAAAATCGAGGTGTAGATAAAGACCTCCCCACCTCCTCTCCTTCCTGAACTCTGTCAAGGGAAAGGCGTCGCTTTGGGAGGCTACACTGGCGGTGGGTGTGTGTATGTAAAAAAGGCAATGCTGGTGTTTCCTTACATGGCTGATGTCACCGCTTCTAATAACCATATGGTATCCTAAATCTTTAACTAGAAGATCATGCAGTTATCTGGCACATATTTATGCATGCTTGTGGGCATTGACGCACGATGAATCGGATTTGGTGTAGTTTGATAACTTTTTACACCTCGGCTTTATGATGCGGAGGTGTTTGGCGTTACTGGTTTGCAGTAAAACATGCAAGACTAGCAGGATTGTGAATGAAATAGAAGCAGCTTGGTCATGCACATGGTCCAGCTGAGGGTTTTTAATTAGCTTAGCCCTGGTTTGTTGATGCACATGTTCAGGGGAATTATTAAACATTTCACTTTCTCGTTAAAACCATGACATCTCCACACAGTGACACTGTGCGCGCAATAGAGATCCGTTACTTTTTATACTGCTTGCGCAATCTCGCCATATAGCCCCTCCTTAAATAAACTCAGCCTGGACATGAATAATGAACCATTCAAACAACCAACGATCGTTGACGCGAGCACTTTGTGCGACCAGCAGGCGCTCTCATTGGCTGCCGGCCTCCCGGACCACCGTCTCGGGACCACCCTCCCTGCGCGCTGATTGGTCGGATGCTGGTGTGCGCGATATTGAATTTGATCGACTGATTTCGGGGCGGGGCTCCTGTAAAGGGGGAACCGGTAAACAGTGTTCTCCACAGACACTTAGACATGGTGCTTCAGCGGCTGCTGCGCTGCCAGCTTTGACCACACGATGCTGTAGCGGTGTGATAGAGAAATGTGGCTGATTGATGGCCTGCATTACAGTCACCACGAGGCAAGCTACCACTTAATACGGCCAAACATAAATTATCTACATGCAAGAGCATCAAAAGTCACTCCCCAAAGTGAAAATGTCAATAGTGCTGTTGACAAAACTGAATTTAACCTCAAGGCAAAGTTTTGGACTTAAAAGAATTACACAGAACACAGTATTTTTACTTTAGTAGAGCAGTTTTTCACTAAAGTGCCAATAAACCTGTACAGTACCTTTGAGTCACAGAGAGGTTATTTAAAAAAACTTGTTTTGAAAGTATCTCCAGAATTCCCAAAGACTGGATGAAAGAAAGATTATATCCACTGAGTGAAAACACTGAATTCTCATTTCACACTTTTTCATCCATATGGTTAGAAGAGTCTTTGGGAATTCTGGAAATACTGTCAGATGTGGTTTTTAATTGTTTTCTGGCACATCATCATGGCCGTGAGGCACTTTGGCCTTTTAGTCAGTGTCAGACTCAGTATTTATGCAACCTTGACAAATTGTACACTGTCTCAAGGCTAAATCCCCTGATTCTATGTGCGCAAAGCATCTCCCCATCACTGCAAGAGCTGTTTTTCATTTTGCACAATGTTAGCACACAGTAGTGCTTTAAAATACAATTAGCAAGGTAAATGAATAGCATAGCTTTAAGAAGACAGAATCTGTACCTTAGACTCATCTTACTCCATTGTAGGAGGGGTGAGGGGCTGTTTTATGTCTGTGCCTAGTGGCCCCTTGTCTCATAATCCACCAATATGTAACAATAATGCCAAATATAAATGTGAATTCAGTAAATTTTAAACTGGCTATACTCTCTGACTGCATGTCATCCTGATTTTTCAAAAGTAGGTCGCTACTGGGAAACAGGTGTTATGAAAAGTAAAACAGCAATGACATTAATTTGCAGATACACAAAAAAATCTTTGTTTTAGCACAGAGTGGTGTTATGCAACGCTTCTTTTGCAACATCAGTTCTTCACATCATCAAGCTTGTGAACATGTTACCAGAATCCGATCAAAGTCATAAACCTGCACAGTCTTGCCGAGGCAGGAATCTGTGGGCTACTAGTCAGCCCATGCAATCCAGATATGTGTCACAATAATAAGACACGGCATCTGAGGAGCATAATCCAATATGCAAAATATCAGGTGAGATTTTTCAATGCCTTTGAAATTTGGATTTGCTGGATTTCAGCATCTCACCAGTGTAAAGCTGAAACAGGGCACAGACAACTGTGAAGCACCAGTAAGCTTCAGTCCATTCTTACAGACAACATCAGCTGCTTATCTCAAGAGCATGCTTTTAACCGGAATTCAAGTGGACAAGATATGAGGTCCCCCATGAGATGAGAAAACTGGCTAAATCTCTGACCACTCCTTAGCTCAATCAGTCATTCACAAATTCATCCTACTGGTTGCAGCTCTTTTATGCAATGAAACTGAATCAGACTCTAGAAAGACATTCTATTACCACTTACTAGAATTTATTTGGGTCTTGGTTGGTAGCCAGCAGGATTCATCCTGCTATAACATGCTGCATGGGCAGTAATGGACAGACTGAAAGGTGAGCACGGTCATTCAGCTGCCTCTTTCATAATCCATTCATAAATAAAGCAGGACAAAAGGCTTAAATTTTTCCTTGGGAAGTGATATACATCATATTGTTTGATGTTTCTTTCTGGAAGGAACTGACTGGGCTGGACTCTTAACATTAATGTAAGTGAGCGTTACCTCATTGTACTAAGCCTTATGGCAGTCTCAGAGGATGGGGGCTGCAGGAGGGGGGCAGCATCTGTTCAAACAAGAGAAGTAAAAAATGCTAAAGATAATCATCAGGGGGGAAGGATAACAGTCCTGTATTGCGACAACATTGTTTCTGCCAAAAGAAACAGTGGGAGGGTGAAGAAGGGTAAAACAGTTCAAACGTTGTAATGGCCTCTTTTTATGTTGGATCAGGTTTTTGCTGTTTTTAAACTTTGAAGGCCAACACAACTATTTGATGACTGGAAATCATGTTTTATGTGAAGAGTTTTACATATGGCATCTTGAGATAACAAGGAGACTTTCATCCAGATATAATACTGTTACTGTACCAGTAACGTTTGGCTTTGGAAACAAGGTTAAAGTGCAAATGTGGCTGAACAGAAAGCATGTTTATTTGAACAAAATGTCCATTCATAAGTCTGGGAAAAGAAAGTATTCTGAATGATCACCTTATCTGAGTTGTCCGTGGTAACAGTGCAAAATGGGTTATGTGCTAACTCATGTGGTCTTAACTTCACATTGTATTTAGGTACAATTTAAGGTCACCATCCTCACACATCTAATGATTATAATGAGTTCATGAGCCGGTAAGTCAGTCCCAAGTTCAGTGTCGGCAAACACTAACAGCCAAGGAATCCAAAAACGAGAGGCCAGAGAGGAAGGTTCGAAGGTTGATACACAGAAAATATATGGTAACAGGAGGGCAAAGCAGAAATCGGTGGTCAGGACTGTCCAGGGTCAGAATCAGGAATCACAAGTATCACGAGTAAATGCTTGAAAGTCTGCACATAAGTCAAGAACAATCTGGCAGCTTTCTGGTAGGGGGAAAGCTGCTATAAAGGGGTGAAAACAGGTGTAAACAATGAGTGATAATTAGTGTAAAGAGTCCATATGCAGTATGAGATGGAAACAGGAAATTATAACAAAATAAAAGCATGATGCCAGAAGCCAGCAGGACAGAACCATGACAGTCTGGTTCATTTTTAATTGAGGAACAGACTGTTAATCAGTATAGTATGACTGCAGGCATAGTCATAGGTAGACAGTAAACCATAGGATGGATGGGTGGATTCACTTAAAAGCTTACAGATGGCAAATGATTTTGTCTAGTTGGCTGGGACTAGTCAAAGTTACCTCCAGGACACGAACTCTGTGTGCCTGGTGATCTAGGTGTGGAAGGACACCTTTTGTCTGCTAAATAAGACTTTAATTAACACGTGCTTTATGCCAACAATGACTCATGTTTTCCTGACTGACATTTTCCTTCATATTATGTTTTGTTATTCATCTGCTGCCCTGTAAAATTAACACCCTGGCTCACAAAGCAATCACATGTTAAATCATTGTGTATCAATGGTGGAAAAAGATTAAACAGGTAGTTTGAAATGAGATCTACAGTGTAAGTTGACTAAGCCAGGCCAGCAGCTCTGGCCTAAATGCTACTTTAAGATTGCTGTGATAACACACTCACGGTAACAATGCTAACATGACGATGTCATTGGATGGCATTAGAACTGCCAAAAAAAAAGTTAATATTTTTGGTAAAATCTAAAATAATCATTACTTCTAGGTCTTTAAAGAGACATTCTGAATAATAAAGTGTTGCAAAAGTCATATATAAATACTTAGTGTAAAGCACAGTGTCTCTTACAACACTATGATGTGTATCAGCTTTAAATGTTGCGGTTTTAACTTTTGCTTTTTATGGTTGGGAAACACATTTTGTTATTAAAAAAACAAAACTTCCAACCCTGTTTTTAAACCTGGCAATTTCAGACTGCACTGTAATCAAGCACAAATCAAAGCAGAGTTTCTTAAGCATAACATTTTGGAGGACAATCTACTGTGTATAAGATTTAAAAAATCATCCATCAGTCATGCTCCATCACCTGTCCTCCATATCTCCAGCTCCCACCTTATATCAGCACAAGAGGAACAACATGAGCTTTTTCTGTAAATACTGCTTAACATGTGTTATACGGAATAAGCGGTGTACTCCACCCCAGTGGAGCCTGGTACGGGACATTAAGTCACAATACTTTTGAGACTGAGACAGTCTTTGTAAGGCCAGAGGCTGATATACAGTGGAGTGGAGCCTTGTGAGGAGTGGCAGACCTTTTCACTGGAAGTGATTAATGCAAACTAAGCCAAAGTTCTATGGGAAGAGTACACTACAGTAAATTTATTTCTGGGGTAATCCATTCATTGTTCTCCTTGGAGAAGATCGCAGTGACCAAAAGAACTTGTTGTGTTGTAGCAGCCAAAAGAAATGTTTAGTGATATAAGAAATACAAAATGTATAGTAAGAAGGAAAGCTGAAAGAGGCTTTAAGATACTTGCCCCTTGTTCACTTTTCAGTCTATAAGTGTTTTCATCTACCTGTTTTATGCAGATTTTCAATTTGTGCATAAAAAGCCTGAGTGGAAATGCCAGAAATGTGTCTTTAATCTAAGGGTGAGGGTGGAAAAGTTGGCATATCAGTGTAAACAAGTTGAAACAACATGCAATGGAAACAGACTTAGTTGAACAAATCATGACACACATGTGCCGTCCCTGTGCTTCCCTGAAAAGCTCAACTTTAATGAAAGCATCTGATGTTATGATGAGGATACTGTAATGTTCCTCAAAATATAAATAAATAAAGCAAACAAACATATATGCCATACTTCCATCATGGTTTCCACATCAGTTCTGTTTGAGGTTTGACTGGCACTCGTTAATGTCATCTCTTTATTCTGCAGTGGTTTAATGGCAGCTGATTGGAGAAGTCAGTACTGCATGCGACCAGCTGCTATTGTATTCCTGTAATGGTAGTGGATGAAACTGCGCATTAATTTCCAAATTTTAAGAAAATGTTGTTACAATTTGCACTAAATTTAGATTGAAACTTGTAAGCTGTTAGCATTTTCCCTTTAAACCTTTCAGATG